GTCTTAAATGTTCCGGTACCCATCATTCCACGGATATTTCTCACTAATACCAACACTGATTTATTCGCAGAGCACTTGAACATCACTTTATCTAGCGTCTGTGCCATGGCAACGGGATAGTTGCAACTTTCAACAATGTCACTCTGGAACACAATACAAATAAGTACAAATCTGCTGAAAGTTAAAGGTTTATTACAAAACTTTCGCACATTCTTCTAATTTCTCCAGACTCATTTTGATAATATTTAGTGCGTCTCTTTCGTTATTTAGCGATTTATTACGTGTCTTTGAGCTTGTTTTCCTGATCATTGTTTTTGCTTTGAAAAAATACATGGCTTGTGGCATACGCTATTAATTTTTTTAATTCACAGCCCGGTACTTGTTCGTACTTTTTCTGTTCACTTATGCTGTCTCCTAAACTTATTTTGTTACTGGTAAATCTATATATGCAACCCTCATTGGAGTGACCGACAGTGAGGAATGCGAGGTCCGCGGCACCAAAGAAGACATTGACCATCTGCAATGCTTTAATTTGCCTCCGATAGACACAAACTTTCTGACGCATTGCGACGATTGGACCATCGGCCACTCTCTGTGCAGATGCTGCTGGAGCACCGTCCTCGTCTGTCGCCGCCTCACAGGACAGTCAATGCCCTCTTGCGTTTTCTGAGGACCGCGGACCTATGTGAACGCGCACAGTACCACCACTAGATACGCGCCAGCCAACGTACTGACAATTATCTCTCATCTTTCCCTTCTCTTTCCTCTCTCTCTCTCTCTCTCTCTCTCTCTCTATCTCTCTCATCTTTATACATCACTTTTACATTCTCCCAACTTAGGGTAGCAAACGGGGCATGTGCCTGGTTAACATCCCTGCCTTCTTTCTTGTTATTCCTTCGTTCCATTAAATCTACGTATTGCCATTATTGTTTGTTATAATGTTCTCATCATGTACTGGTGAAGGGCGATGGGGGGGAAAGGAATACTGTGTCGCAGCTTCTTTCACTAAAAGAAAAATGAATTAAAAAGCCGGTGTTCTCACAGACCCATGACCTTGCAGAGCAGAAAACGCGGAACGTTTAGGGGGCATGGTCGACGGCGACATTTCTCTCTCTCTCTATCTCATTTCCCCCTCTCCGACACGCAAGCGCGGCGACCTCTGAAAAACTGCTGATCTCCTAATGACTGCCCTCCATTGTCTTTCCTTCGCGAGAAGAGGCTTGTTTTGTTTTGCTTGGCTGCTTTCTCGGTGTGTCTAGAGCGCGTATAAGGGGTCATTTAATTCCGCGCTCAAGCCACACGTAAGGCAGGTTGCGCAAGAAGTCCTTGGTGGAGGTTGGCGTGCTAGTACACACCGGGTTTTTTTTTTTTCGAAGAGTGCCGAAAAGTTATTAGAGGTTCGGCTTTTCGAGGAGCTCAGCAGAAGGGTTCTTCAAGCATGCGGTGTAGACGGCTCGAAGGTGAATGCCTTTTTCTTCGTCGTGTACTTCGTCGTGTACTTCGTCGTGTACTTCATCGTGTACTTCATCGCGTTCTTACAGTCACTGCATATTCTACCGTCATAGCTAGCATACGCAGTAACTTCACGCGACACTTTTGGAAGCTTTCGGTACAGAACGTTATTTTGCATGGCCTTCAAGATTGGAAGCATCGCAGGGCTTTCGCGCCTCATCTGCTTTTGCACGGCCTCCGTGATTAGCATATACCTTAGACCAAGAAAGCAGGGACAGTTGAATGAGTTAGTGCAAATGTGCCTGTGTGTTGTGGTTTATTCGTCCTTTTCTTTCGAACATGGCTTTGACCAAGTGGTGATGTCGTGTGGTGACGTCATCATGTGTAGTGCCGTTGTGTGACGTCACAGTGACGTCTAAACTATGTCATCGCGACGTCACAAGTTTCAGTGCATATGTCGTCATAACACGTTACATCGTAATATCGTCACAATGTGAGTGAGTGAAACAATCTTATTCGGTTCACAGTAGACGCGAGGTAACTCAACTTCACCTGGCTAGGCCGACTCGGGAACGGTCAGGTGAGTTTTTCGGATCACGTGGGTAGTTGTCGCCGCCGGTATATTTTCGCGCTTGATGGGCCATCCAAGGGCTTTCGCTTCACTAACTGATGAAACTGATGGTTATTCGAATGGAGTTCGCCAGCCGGCCCTACTGGACTTAAACAGCCCGTTCAGCCCGGTCGATCAGCGCTTGCAATGCTGGTCGGCCAGGTAAGATATGGACAATCGCACCTGCGACTGTTACAACGTGTATGTTGGTGCCATTTCTGCATGTCTCAGGTGTGGGAGTCGCATTTAGCAGCCCCATGTAATGTGATATATTGCACGACGAAAAAGAAAACAAAAACAAAAACAAAAACATGGTTGATCCCTCCCTCACCGAAATCTGTAGAACACGAAAGTGAATCCGGTCCTTACAGGAATAGTTGAATGCTTACTGCACATTGATATAAGGGAACTTGCACAATGGCTCTTGATGCTTGACAGCTATAGTAGCGCTGTTTAACTAGAACGCACCCACGTTGGCGCGTAGTGATACACCTACAATCCGACGACTGACGACCATGGTCAATGAATAAGCAAACCCTTGCGGTCATCATGGCGGTCATAGCTGTAATTTGATAAGACATATGCTTGGGTTAGTTGGTGATTGGGAATCAACACATTTGCACAGCGCAAGACTACTTGTAGTAACGGCGTATAACTACAGAAGAAGAGACAAGGTCAGAAAAGACCGTTGCTAAAAGAGCAGCGCTTCTTGCTGTACTTGTCTCTTGTTCTGTAGCTACGCCGTAACTAGTCGTAGTCCTGCGGTGTGCAAATATGAAGCTGATAGCTGCTTGTGGTAGCATAGCACTTGACGGCGAGAGCGGCTGGGAGAGAACGTCACGTGACATTCTAGAAACACAGCAAAAAGAAATATGAAACTGGAGCATGCTGGGAACTGTGACCAGAGCATGGAGCACGAGGAGAGAGCGGCGTCGGAAGCGGTTGATTCGTGGACTCCGGGTTCACGCGCTCGTAAATTTCTTCGTTTTGCTTTTCTTTTTCCGTGATCCGAGCATTGAAAAAAAAAGTGAAATAGGAGCATTCTGGGCATTGTGACATGAACGTGAGCAAGCAGTCGCATCAGATGCAGCTGGCTTGTAAACACTAGGCGTGCTCCTTCATATTTTCCCCCCTCAATGTGTAGGACTTGCTGTGCACCAGGAGCAGGAGCCGCGGTAGCCCATCGGAAATATGGCGTGAGAAATAAAGAAGCGGCTGTAATCAGGTCCGGTGGCTCTGCACAAATGCGAGAACAGCGCTAGTTATCAGCCAGCGAATATTGACACATTAATTTTTAAATAGTCACCGTGGCACATACGACAGGAGAATCCTATAGCTTTGCGGGCTCAGAAATGTACAATTCGTATATTGAAAATTGCAACATATTCTTATTAATTATGCAGTTAATTAGGGAATTTCACCTTCAAAGCTGAGAACAAATTTTTCTCAGTTTTTTTTTGTCTGCGCGATCGATATCGAGGTCTATTGAGTCTTACGGAGCAGAATTGAGCAGCAGAGCAGTTTAAAGGCGTTTTTTGGAGAAGGGCGGGGGGGGGGGGGGCAGACAGATTAGTGTAAGTCGTGAAAACGCGCTAATTATGTCAACCACGTGACAACATAAAGCTGAACGAGAAAAAAAAAACATAAGTTCATAATAGCCGAGGCCAGTACACTCCCCAGTCAGTGCTGAGCGGCAACCATGACATCCCCGATGACTCACGTCACGTACAAATATACACACGGGCCTCCTACACAATACAAAAGGCGCAGACATTCATTGTCCCAAGCACTTTACTCGTCTCAATACCGCCTGACGAATATAAGGCACCCAAACTTCTGGATAAGGTGCTTCAAGCGCGCAGTTAAGTGTTCTCATCTTCATACAACAATCCACAGTTTGTATGTACGTTATATAAAAAAAGTCCTTGCTTTTAATTGAGAGCGCGCCGGGTCACACTGCTATAATGAGCACCGTATGGTAATAACGCGGAGATCTTGCGGCTCAAGGTGTTTTTGTAGGCTCATTACGTTCCACTCTCGTGCGTCCATGCAGAGCATATATGTACAATGCGAATAACAGCGCACACAGGGTTGTGCGTAACGCCTCCAGTCTCGGCACTTCCGCATTGTAGCTCTAATGCAATGGAGGCCAAGTGTCTTACATGGTACGATTGGCCTTCTGTACCTAAAGAATCATAGCAGCTGCCACTATGCCAAAGGCGTCGTATCAGTATTTTACAGTGTATTGTAAACTCAGACGCAGAAGGTCACTTTTTGGAAGCCCGCTATTCACCTCGAACGGAGGCCGGTGGTGGCGCTGTGAGCCAAGCTCTGGCAGAGTTACTGTGTAGCCTTTGTCGTTCGTTATGGCCCGGCCGAGTTGTGTACGTCATCACGCGCGCATTTTTTTTCAGCTGTTTGTCACCGTTAAACACTTCGTCACTAAGCCTCAATTCGTGCTGTCGCACGTCCGGCTTGCTCGACTTCTCGTCGTGTGACGGGTATACCCAAAGATGGCGGCGTAATGTTACCATTCAACGAACAAGTGCCAGCGCAGAAGCTCCCTTCTCGGAAGCTCACTGCTGACCTCGAACGGAACTGGTGCATGGTGGCGCTGCTAGCGGAGCTCGGGTGGCGTCAGCTGGAGGATTATAGTCTTTGTCATATGTTATTGTCCGGTTGAGTTGCTTACGTCATTCCAGGCGTATTTATGGAGCTGTTTGTCACCTCTTAATCGGTTCGCCTTGCAGCCTCACTTCGTGCTGTCACTTTTTTTTTTCTCTTGCGTGACTTCTCGCCGAGGGCTGGAACCCAGATATGGCGACCGTGATGACGTCATGGCAAATCGCTAGTTAACGCGAGCGTTTTCGTATTTGTCTGTTAGCGATTGTCTTCTTCTACACGAAACTCGACCCTCTCATGTGCAACAGGACCCACACATCGTTCGGCACGCAAGAGGAGCAGCCATGCCCAGCATCGTGCTCTTCCGTCGTCGCTGGATCATCGCCGACGACGACCTGTACCTGCCGCCGCTCTTGGAGGCCGTCTGCAGGCTCGGATGGTGAGTGGATGGTGCACAACCGATTCGGCCTCGGTGATCGCTGCCGTCGAAGGTGTTCAGAGGCAGCATACGGGGAACGCCTTTCACGATGCTGGGTCTCATCCCTTAGTTGCAGTATAATATGCGATGCTGATATAACAAGTGGGCATATACATTATCCAACGTATAGAGAAAAAGGTGTTTAGTTTACGTGCACTAAGAAGGAAATCATTGCAAAAGAAGAGTTCATGCTTTTCGCTTCCCCGGCGAAATGCTACACTGTAGAGGCGCTGGGAATTTAACAGGCGACCTTGGGCTTGGTAGCGCCATACCACAGTCACGGGAACACCACCGCCGTCCAAAGCAGATGAGTGGGGGGAAGAGAAGTGTTGTGCCTTCATTTTAAGATAATAATCTAATCTAATAAATTAGTTTATTTCGAAGTTACGTAATCTTCATTTTATTGAATCGGGTATTCAACCATTACTCAACACAGAAGTGCAGGTTGTCATTTTAACGGGACAACATAACGTGATGGAATTTTTAAACTAATAGTACTGATCTAATTTTTCGGTGTCGGTTTACAAACGAAAAATGTGCATGTGCAATTAATTTCGAAATAATGTCAGAATTAAGGTAGTTTAATTTTTTTGTAAACTGTACTTTTCGAATTCTCAGCAGGTGTTATTCAAATCATTTTCACTTGATGAATGCAGTGAAAGTGGGTAATTAAGGAATAAAAATCAATCAAATGACATTCTGTTCTCCATTAGGGTGGCCCCTTTTGATGATTACATGAAAGCGTGTTTATCCGATTACACGAAAGCGTGTTACATGAAAGCGTGATTACATGAAAGCGTGTTTACCCACTGTTTTGTCTTGAAGGCTGGTGGCGTCCGGCATGCTCCTCTGGGAGCACCGGCCCCTGTGGATGTGCGGCGACTCCGACTGGCTCGCGTTCGCCTACCAGCTCGGGGCGCAGGTCTTCTGCCTGCTGGTCATCGGCTCAGACCTGGCGCTGGCAGCCATCAACGGCCGAGGAGCCATCATCGCGGTGAGGACCTTTCGTCTTCGCGGATCACGCGTCGCTTGAACGACGGTGATTATACGTCAGGACGCAATCGAATGAGCACATGTTACAGCGATTCCAACTTGAATGCGTGCGTAGTGGAGGCGAAATGGGCCGCAGGCATGGCCTCTGAAAACAAGGCAAGATGTTTGGGCTGTTGTTTGATCGCTCTCTCTCTCTCTCTCTCTCTCTCTCTCTCTCTCTCTCATAAAAAACCAAGATTTATGTCATTGTAAAGAAGAAGAAAAAATTCGACAGACCCGCGTAACTTGGCAATCGACGTTATGCGAAGCATGTGGAGGGAAGGTGCACGATATACATGTTGTAATTTTTTGTGAAAAATAATAAACAGTAATGCAGTATACAAGACAATATAGCGCAAGCAAACAAGATAGAATAAGCAAATGAAGTAAATCATAGGAGAATATAAAGATGTGGGAAGATGAGAAGATACACAAATAAAACCCAACCGAAAGAAAAAAAAAGAAGCTAGAGCAGTGAAAAACAGGAGTTAGACTAATCATCCTCTCTCTTTGATAACAAATGGTCGTGATAGCAAAGCTTCGAAGTAGAGCTCCCGACGTCATCGTCACAAGTAGAGCGGCGATGCCCCCGCGATTGCCAGATGCATTGAGGAAGGCAGCCGTGCGTGCACTCTTCAGGCTAAACGCGCCTCGATTCTGTCTGGTTGTTCAGTGTTCAGTTTCTGGTTGTCTGCCTGGTTGTTCAGTGTTCTGTGTCTGGTTGTTCAGTGGTTGTTCAGTGTTATCTCTGACGCTCACTTACACCTCGTTTCGCTTTCGTGCGTCTTGCAGAGCAGCACGCGGAGGGCGCAGATACCCATACTCTACGTCAGGAGTTTCATGCTGCTCGCCGAGGTGGCGTGGCATGCCCTGGGCACGGCCAAGGTCTTCTTCTACGGGGACTCCTGCGTGCCGCTCGACCTCTGGCGGCAGTTGGAGGTAACGTTATTCAGCGGTGCATTCATATGTACTGATTCCTAAGTACAGCGACGGCGTCTTAAGTATATGACTGCGCACGTTCCGGCGGCCTCTATACTGTACAAGTAAGTCGCCTCCCCAGTTGATATTCGTTATTACTTTGCGTTCTTCCTATTTATAATGAAAGCCCACCAACTCGTCCAACATGTCGTCCTCTCGCACTGTACAGTATCGCTTCTGATGCTTAGTACGTGACTGGTGGTGTTTTCCATACTGTATATAATGCTCCCTTACTTATATCGCACCGACTGTCATACGGGATGAGATAGTTAAACGAAAACGCGCACGCACATGGGGCCTTCTTCGTGAGGAAGCTGTAGGAGCGATCTGTGGAACGCATTTGTCCGTAATTAATAGTTAGCCGTCGTTGCTCTGGTCTAGCTGTCGTCATATCAGTCTACTAATCTAAACTCTATGCAAGTGCGCTGCTCCAGTTCCGACGTGGACGTGAATGAGTGCCGGGGCAACGAAGGCCAACACACTTGCACTAAAATGACCTCCAGCGACCGTTTATTCCAGCAGCCACGGTGTAACGTATTTTTTTTCTTACAGGGGGGTCCAAAGTTGGTATGCAAGACACTCTGTCTCGACGTTGTTTTCCGCTTTCACGATAATTACACAAAGTATTTAAAAAAACGCCTCCCGACAAGCCGTTGCCCCCTCAGTGAAGGCAACAGCATCGGCAAGGAGGTGAGAGAAAGGCACTTGCAGCCCATTGCAAGCTCCAGAAGTACCCCCTCCTCCCCGCTTCGATGCAACACAATTTTGCACACCCGTAAAGACAATATTACGCCGTCGTCCACGTGTGAAGGTAAAATAATGCACGAGTGTTAGAGTTTACATACTTATTGTATTGAGTGTTATTAGCATACTTATTAGCCAGGTATGCAAAATAAGTATGCGTGTGAGAACAACCACGTCTCTATAGGCGAGAATGCAGTCACACGAGTGTGTCGCTACGGCCAGCACTTTTGATTTATAATTGCTCTCTTCCTTGTTTGCATGACTTCCATCCGCGTTTCGTCAGAACTTACCGGTGACCACGTGGGACGCGCTTTGTCTGCCTCGTCTATTGTCTACGGATAGTCCACGTCAGCAACGCACTTGGTATTCACCTCGCCGTGTGTTGTATAAAACTTCATTATGCTTGCTTCGCTAAACACAGCGCCCTCATTATCCTGAATGATATTTCTGCTAGTATCCAGTTCCCTTGCAGGCTGCTATAGTTAGGCGAAAACTGTGCCGCGTTCCGCAACGCAAAGGCAAAACGAAAGGCAAAGAAATGAAGCACCGATCGTACACCACCAAGAGCACAAAGGCGTTTCTACATACTAACCACACAGATGCTACAACGTAGATACAATATTACGTTCAGAAGCATTGAGAAGCCACATACTATTGATCTGTGAGTGCTGATGCAATTGGAGGATGGATAAAGGACCGAAAGATTGCTGGCCCGTTGCCTAGCAAAGTCTGCCGCCTTGAGGCACGTTCACACGTGTCAGCTAACGTTGCCGCTTGTAGGGTCTTCCTCGTTTCTTTAAGTGGATCGTTCCTGGAGGGCGTTCCGCGAAGACTCGAGAAACGCATCGGTAATAGCCTCCAGAGCTAATCAAGTCAAAATGCCAGTTTCGAAACGTAGAGCTTCTGTTCCTAGCGTATATTTCAACACACGGCAACCGCATGGTACGCCTCACGAAAAGCATGCTCGAGACCGGTAACATCTGTATCGCTCGTGAACATAATCATTAAGAAAACAAAAGCATATCGGACAAAAACAGCCATGCGCGGGGCCAGGCCGTGTGTTCGAGACTCCTACTCTAGACTGTCATATATACTCTAATCTCGATATAAACAACACTGATATTACGAAATGTCGGTTACAACGAAGTAGAGGAAGAGTAGTCTTGCGATTGATAGCGATAGAGATTACTTTTGTAACGACTTTTTCGACGCAAACAACTTGGTTTCTCGTAAGATTCAATTTTGTTATAATGAGGTTCGAGTGTGCAGTCCTCTATTTTCAACGTTGTTGAAGTCGTTCTCTTCCTCTCGCGTAATTCTGCGCAGACGCTGGTGATCGTGGCCTGGGGCATCGTAATCATGCTGCTGCTGTGCGTGTACGCGCTGTACGACCCGGCCGGATCGATCAAGCACAACCCGTTTCGGGACATCGGGGACGTCGAGGCCAGCCGCGACGTTAGGAAGTTCTTCCTCCGGCCCTCGGACAAAGGGCACCGCCGACGAACGCGCCTGTGGTTTGCAAGGTGCGTGAGCCCAACAAGGATGTCAATACGCGCACTGACTACGGAACAACGAAAATAACTAGCGGTTACCCTAAATGGCACGCCTACACTAACTTCGTTAAGTTGTCCCAGTCGTGTCGGAAGTTGCACTATGGTGACATCTTCATAGGCACTGTAGGGTCCATAAGACTAAAAGGCCTATGATGTAAAACAATTAACTACAACAAGAATAACAACAACAATAATAATATCAGGGGTTTAACGTTCCAAAATCACCATATGATTACTAGAGACGCCTTAGTGGAGGGCTCCGGAAATTTCGACCTCCTGGGGTTCCTTAACGTGCACCCAAATCTGAGCGCAAGGGCATACAGGATTTCGGCCTGCATCGAAAATGCAGCAGCCGCGGCCTGGATTCGATCCCGCGATCTGCGGGTCAGCAGCCGAGTACCTTGGCCACTGGTGCAGCGCGGCGGGCAACCGTGGCGTAAGGAAACGACCCACTGTGCGTGTAACATGGGCCGTTTCAAAGTTGAATGACTACGGCAATCACCGTTGTTAAGTGTGTCATAATTATTCTTTTTTTTTGCCAAGGAAGGGGTCACACGCGAACTTATACGCCGCTGTTCACTTTGTCGATGCTTCTGCCGCTGCTGATGATGCAACATGTCTGAGGGTTTTGTAGTGTGTGGATATTTAAAACACCCACTCATTGCGCAATTCAGATGTTCCGACAGCTGGCATGATTCGGCGCTTCTGCCTCCCTGCACTACATCACATTCATGTTGTTTCCAAACGAAGTTCAACAAATGTCTTCGGTGTGTGGCAGAACACCTGCTCACAACGCAGCCGACGTGGAATCGATCTTCACTCGTACTCGAAAGTTTTTCCCATTTACTTAATTGGATCTTCCTCGGTTTTTCAATCCCGGACAGGACGATGATTTATCGCTCACAACCGACGACGCCAACGCCGACGCCGGAATTCCAGCGAAACAGGAACGCTGTCTCTAACGCTGTCGCGTTGAAAATATAGGGCAGTATGGGACCCCATAGTGCCCATAGGAACCAACTAACTAAACTTTGTTCTTAGACCGACAAGTTGACTTGGTCCAACTTTTTCTGCTCTCAAAAAGGCAACCTGGTAAGCTGATTGGTTCCGTTATGTCGTGCTGAGTCGATTTATCGGGTCTGCTTGACGAGAGCCGAGCAGTTGGGTCAAGTTGACTGGTTGGGCCAGAAAGTGTTGTCAACGGCTTGTCCACTCCCTACAAGCCAACTAGTGAGTAGACTTTTCGGATCGGATCTATCAAAAGACAGACTGAACAAAGTCAACTAGAAGCCCGATGTTGCCTTGTCGAGTTTATTTATCGCGATGTCAGGTTGGCAGCTGACAAGCCAAGTCGACCAGATGTAAACGGACTATCCGCATCGTAGACGGCATAGTTTGTTTATACAGAGTGGGGAACGTTTGTTTAAACGTCTACTCGTAATTCAACATCAGCTCGATTAGTTGCCTATACTACAACGAAAACTTGCAAAATGTCTTCCTCTCTCTCTGCAGACTACGCCGTTTCTTCTGCTGCGCCAGCGACACAGAGGACAGCCCCCAGGCCTATGAGCACATGGCCGAGTACGCCGCGTACTTGTTCGAGGTGAGGAGGACAGAACATGTATACGATCGAGTCTGGCAAGTTACGTGGGTGTGTACAAGGTGCATAAGGAAATCGATATGCTTGTGAAGATGACGGCCTTGCTGTGTTATTATGTCTCAGCGCCAACTACAGAAGTGCGCAACAGTGTCAGTTTTCAGCGCAGGTGTTTAGAAGGGGGGAGGTGATGCCCCCCTCCCTTGATCTGCGGAAAAACTTGGTGGTGAAATGCGGCGAAGCTTTGGACCTCGTCACAGTTTATACCGCATCTCTACTCCACACGTACACTCTGAGAGGCGTTCATGAACATCGACCGTTAGCACTTAGCACTAATGCATAGGTCAATCCTTACCAAGTGACACTACACCTTCAGTTCCTGGGGGCCTTCATTTCATCATGTGACACCACCTTTTTGAGATATGCTCTTTTTAACAGCCCCCTTTAACCCAATCAAGAGGAACTAAGGCTTCTCGCGAAACATGTACGGTGGTATACTATGCATGTCATCTAAGAACTGCACTCGAAAGTGTCAGAAGCATTGGTGGCGTAAGGATTTCATTTAATGGAGGGATGGGAGGGCACTTACGTCAAGCGAGTTCTTTCGAGAGGCCAGCGAGGGGCATACCGTCTTCCTTGCGTCAGCTTTGGGGCACTGTTGCAGAGACCAGCAGGGGGAGAGTCGATAATACGGGGAAGAGCAACACCCCCCCCACTCACCTCAACAATGGCGCCACTCCTGGTCAGAACCTGGAGAGAAAAATGTTCCAGGATAACTGAACTGAACCTTGCACACGTTCTGCCTCCTGCAGGACGTCGACATCACACCATCGGACATGTTCTCGGCACTGGTTCTCCTGCGCAAGAAGCAGCGCCGCCAGCTGGCGCGTATGGGCTCCACTTCCGAGGAGTCCCGGGAGGGGATGACGGTGCCCTACTACGTCACAGACCCTTCTTTCACTGGTGAGTGCGTACACGTCGCACGCATCGCAGACATGAAATGAACATATCGCACGGAATACGGCACGGGACGATTGATTGATTGATTGACATTTCTCTATAACAAATCATGCTCCACGGAAGCTCGCATGATCCAGGGAACTTGAAGAAGGTGAACAATTGTCGTACTTACCCCTGAATAACTTGAAGCTACAATACGATCCTGTATGCATGGTTGAAAGTTACATAGTTAAGATTATGCTCTGGTCCGAGATCTGAAGCAACCCCTTATGACCACGTGATTATCGAGAAGGCTAACGCAGATTACAGTGCGAGAGAGAAATAATTCATAACTATAGGCAGAGGGTCAACGTATATATGGAAACTAAACCACTTCCGCAGAAGTTGGAAATCTCGAGGAAATGTTCACAGGGGAGGTTCCACCTATAAAATGCACGCCCGAGCGACAGGTTTTATTTTTAGTAACAATAACGAATCTCGCAGGCTACGCTTTTTGCCGACTGAATTCTCTGGAAGCGATCGCAGGATCCGCGAATGCGTCCTGGAAAACCCACGTGTAATCTTAACAACGCCTCTTCCGCAACCGTCTGCAGCACCGGTGGACAAGGCTCCGCGCAGCAACGGCGTGTCGCCCGGTGAGACAGCGACGCCAGCCACATGGCCAGTGGCCGGTGTGACGTCTACAGGGCCCCATCCGTGGATGAACCCCGAGCAGGCGCTGTACTACCTCAAGTTCGCCTGGGGCATCTACGGCTGGCCGGCGTACATGGCGTCACACGTATTGACGGGCCTCTGCGACCTGTGGGGCGGAATTAGGTAAGGCGTCCACTTCAACAACTAAGATGCAGATTTTAAGTGTACATTTAAGTGCACGGTCATTCAAGTGCAACGGTAACATTGTTTGCGAACAAGGTAAAAGTAGTGGTGTACCCTATTTCAACCTGCGTGTACCTTCCAAGACTGCTGTTTAACAAGGCACAGTTGCCCAAGACCTTAGTAATATAATGTGACATGGCCGATTCGACTCGGGAGACTAAAAAACGAAGACCATATTTTTTTCTTTAGTTCATTAAGCGCACCCCCCCCCCCCCCCCCCTTCACAAGCACTCGTCATAACCAGTCCAGCACCAGCACCATATGCACTACACCACCGGGGCAGGCTCTTCCTTCGTCCGAACTTTACATATAGTGGCTCGCAAACTTCAGCAAAGGACTGCAAGCGTAGTGCAAGTGTAGATTGCTCGACGTGCCGCTTGTCCTCGCAGGTGCTGCACGTGCCTTCGCGGCGGCAGCGGCAACGTGTCGGGCGACAACTGCTGCGAGTGCCACGCGGCCACCGTGAAGCACCTGACCCGAGTGCGGCCCGAAGACCTCCTCTTCTCGTCGTTCGCGAACGGCCTGTACCGGGTGCCCTTCTACGTCGCGCTGGACCACCGCACCAACGCCATCCTGGTGGTGGCACGGGGAACACTGTCGGTCGCCGACGCGCTCACAGACTCCGTGACCGCTGCGGCCAGTGAGTATACTGTAGGCTTGTCATATATACCTTCGCAGTTACACTCGGCTGTCAGAACCAATGGTCAAAACCAATGTTTAAAGAACGTTGGACCAAACAGCTGCTACTGTGATCGTGCGACAAGATGGGGAAATTCTTTGCGCCTTGGAGACTAAAAGGGCAGAAATGTGCGCTTGTTCGCACGACTTGGTTACATTGCACGAAACGGTTGCAGGACAAGAAGTTTCATCGCTTCTAGGCGTTTGTAGGCGCATCGCTTGTAGATGCATGGGGAAGGTGGGTAGCAGTGAGTCAGGTGGGACGAATGAATAGGATAGCGTCCGGATTGTCCTTATTGCATGTTGGCCTCCAGTATGCGCTGGCCATCAGTTGCGACATGTGCAAACCCACAGCCCCTGCACATATACGTCGGCCACGCCAAGTGACACTGATAACTATAAGGTCAATATCGTGTATGTTTGCTCAAAACGTGGGTACCAGAGTACCAAAATTTTGTCGGAGGCTATGTTTACAACATCTTCCACTAAGACATGTCAAAGTGAATATCAGCTACACCCGTTTCTCATCGGTGCCATCGTGAGCATTCCGCCCTAGCGCGTATATGGAACAATTCAGCCTTTAGAGGGCACACATATCGCTAAATGACATCTGTGTGTGTGTATAAATGGGTTACCTTACGTCTCGCTCGTGCAAAGGCCGGAATTCAGGGGCTCCAAAACTGGGGGGGGGGGCAGTGGGGGCCATCGCCCCCAAAGGTTAGAAACGAGGAGGGCATGCCCCCCCCCCCTCAAACAGCTCCTGCGACCCTTTCCCCCTCCCCATCCTTTTGTAGCCTTAGCATAACAAAAACAGAGGTATGTATTAACGCCTATATATATATATATATATATATCCCTGCCAACAAACGTCGCCCCCACACCTCCACACTTCAGATATACTTCTGGAGCCTCTGGGCCAGATCATTGAAGTGAATGTCTGGGAACATTCAAGCGGTGCCGGCACACTGCGATAATGGCGCGTATGCACATTCAGTGACGTCATCTGCACGTTCCGCGTTGCCTCCGTGCTGCAGAGATGCCAGACGGGGTAGGCCTGTGCCACCAGGGCGTGCTCCAGAGCGCCCTGCAGATCCTGGGTCAGCTGGACGAGCCACTGGCGTAGGCCACGGCCCGCCACCCAAACTACACCCTGGTGCTTACCGGACACAGCCTGGGCGCTGCCGTCGCCTCCGTGCTCGGCATCCTGCTCAGGCCAAGGTTTCCAAGCTTGCGCTGCTACGCCTTCTCCCCTCCTGGAGGAATCCTGGACGTGGAAAGGTTAGAACGTTACACGTAGCTAGTCCTGCTTGCCTGCATAACTACCTACCCATACGATGTCTGTGCATCTACATATTTTTATAGTCAGATACTTATACAGCTTAATAACTACGCGGCGTTTGCTCCTCAAAGGCAGATGCATACAACCCGGCGCCAACGGGTGCGTGCGCTAAACTGCCGTCACCCCGCCTTGGGAGAGCATTGCCGAGCGCATAAGCGGGACTATTTCCTCCGTGCTTCGGTGGTCTAGGTGAAGGGGTGGGGTCTCTTCGGACTCATTAGCTGTACCCGACCGTATCTATCTATCTATCTATCTATCTATCTATCTATCTATCTATCTATCTATCTATCTATCTATCTATCTATCTATCTATCTATCTATCTATCTATCTATCTATCTATCTATCTATCTATCTATCTATCTATCTATCTATCTATCTATCTATCTATCTATCTATCTATCTATCTATCAAGTTGACTTATGGTACCGATGATTGCGCCTCTCTGCTCATGTGCCTATGCCTGCATACTCGTTAAAGCTTAGGTCTGGCTCAAAAGGAGAGAAAAAAGAATAATTTCGCGATCAGGCAACTAGGTCAAATGTTTTTTACAGAATTTCTTCTCAACAACCGGGGCGTCCTTTTATTGAAGTCACAGGCCAGACAATACAGGAAAGGGACCTCAATATTTATCGAACGTACGTCGCCAAGAGCAAACCGCCTCTGTTTATAGACAATCCTAAGACGAATACGAGGACAAAGTGATCGAGATAGCGCCGGCCATGTCTGACGACAGGATTTTGTTTTTGGGGGTTAGAACACGTGTTGCATGACGGCTCGGGAAGGAGGAGAGAGCTGGTGTAACTTGGGTGAGGGTAAGTGCTGATGTGAATTTAGAGGGCGCGGACAAGATTCCCCTTTGCACCTCGTTGCCGACGCCCATGGTACGTGCCAGCCTGGTTATTGCGTAGCGCGATAGGCGCAGCTTGGTTTTCTGGTCGCGCGAAACAGCGGAACCGAAAGCTTGAACAGCCTCAACTGTTGAAACAACATTGTCATTCGGTTCCTCGCAGGGCCCGTGAGACGCGTGACTTCGTGATGACCATCGTCGTGGGAGACGACCTGGTGTGCCGGCTGGGGTTCACCCAGGTGAACAAGTTCAAGCGAGACGTGGTCAGCAGCCTGCTGCAGTGCGACATGAACAAGGTGCAGTACCGTGGAGCAAAAAAGCACACTCGTGATATGTATACGCTCTGAGAAAGACATGCGACCTACAAGAAGGGAAGATCGGCAGGTGTTACACTCATCCTGCAACAGAAGGAGGCGAACGCCTGGCTGCAGTCATATAAGAGTAATGTGCCGAGACGAGCAACTACTCATGTCTTGCCCTGAACCTTGCAGCACTTCTCTGAGTCATGATGGAGCAGTCTCACTATTAGTTCATGACAGTTCAGCTACCCCATACCACAATTTTTTTTTAATCCTTCAAGTAGGAGCAGAGTTACGTTGAAAGCTGCGCAGGGAGGGGCATTACAAAAGGGCAACAAAGTGCGCCCCCTGCGTCAGCGAGCATCGTGATCTTGAGCACTTTATTTAGTTTATTTTCTTCAAACGCGTGACTTTCAGTGGGCCCGCGAGTGCGCACGCAGGTGGCGGCATCCTGCGTCAGTCACAGTAACTACGCAGCTGACAATGTCCAAATCAGATAAAGGCCGCACACTTTTGCAGAGTGAAGAGAAAGTGGATCCCTAGCTGACGCTTTGAGAATGAATTGTAAACTTCAGGTGGCGTGCTGCGCCGGCGGCGTGGGCAGAAAATTTGTTTTCTGGGGGGTGGTGGGGGGGAGGCACCTACTTAACATGATCTGTTCTTCAGATTTGCCCGCTGCGCTACAGCAAGGCAATATGCGCGCCTAGGAAGCCTACCGTTTTGATGATTCTTTGACGGATGTTGATCAGTGGATTGATGAGCCCTATGTCACTAATACTAAACCATGTGAATCCAACCGACCATTACGTTAAGGACAGCATAGCGCAGTTCGTTTTCTATATAACTGCAGTGAAGTTATTAATAGCGTAAATTGAAATAAATGGAAGAATGCGAAAAATCTCCCTTTCCGTTGGTGGGATCTGAACGCACAACCTTCGAATTACGCGACGACCATGCAGTATAGCAAAGAGGGTAGCTCCATTGATAGCTCCATCGGTAGCGTCATGGTCGTAGCTCCATATCGGTACAGCATCGGCCGCGTAATTCGAAGGTTGTGAGCCCATATCCCATCAACGGAAAGGGTGACTTTCCGCCTTCCTCAATTCATTTCATGTTACGTCATTATTAACTACACCATGAAGTAAAGAGAACAAATTAATGTCCGCTACGCCCTTGTCACAGAACGAGCGCTAAAAAAGAGCGCGCCGCCAAATCCTTGCGACAACGGGCGGCAGAAACGCCGCGAGGTAAAAAGAAAAAAAAAAAAGAGAAAGCAAACATCCAGGGCTCCCGGGCGCGCGCTCTCCCCGCAGAAGCACGGCTTCGCAGACGATCCTCCTCACCCCACTTCGGCGGCCCAGCAAGCCCGCGATTTTTCCAGAACGAAGGGGGAGGGGCCATACCGAGTTGACTCATCGGCCGGAGAGGGCATTCCAACTGTCTCGCCCTCTTCCCAGCTTTCGCCGCGTATCGCGCCGACGAAATGACCAGAAATTTCTGGAAAGTCGCGCGCAAGGTATTTAACCGAGCAGCCGAGACGAGAAATCAGGAGGAGACGGAAGTGAGCGCCAGAGTGCGTAGAGAGTCCGCCGTGTAGTCGGCGAAGTTTGTGGTCCGTAGGGACGGCTCGAGCTACAGGCAAGAGTGTGTGTTTACCGCTATCGAGCGAAGACCCGTGGCAACCGCTGCGAGTGTGAAGCCGACGTGTTCCGGCGAAGAAGTTGAAGTTTGAAGAGTGGCCAATTGAAGACGGGAGGTTTCCTGGGAGAGAACTTCGAGAGCTGCGGAACGACAACAACGCTGGACTTTGAGTGAGTGATTCTCGGAAGAGTATCATTCAGACTTTTGTTCCAAGGACTTTGGACTGAATAGGTTTTATATCTCTTTAGTCTTTAAGTGTCTTGGTTGTTCAATGCATGCGACTGCATTGTAGTGCGTATTGTTGTCCGTGTCCGTTGTTTCAAGTGTGGTTGATTGTACTGTGTAGTACATTGTCTGTTTGGTGACGTATTGTATGTAACTATTGTGGAGTGTGCATATGTGTGTATTGTTTTTGATCTGCCGTTAATGAGAATATAATTTTGTTTGTTTATCAACTCTCGGCTCTGTCTTGTTCTTTGGGCCACAGCCGGCGTCCGCTGGCGCACCAATAAGGACCACTTCTAAATTGTCCACGCTTTCGTGGTGCGGTTCGGGGGGCCGATACTTCGGCTCTTGGAATTAGCCCGGCGATCGCCTCCCTAATAAACGGGACAGGTGTGACAATTAATCTGGCGTCCGCGACAGGACCTTTTGGTGCACAGTGTGTCCAAAGTAGTGAGAAAGAGCCTCGAGTTGTTGATAGTGCTATCGGAAGGATTTTGTGTGTTGTTCAGTGTTCTCGTTAACGAGTGCAGGGGAGTGCTCCGATAGACTGATCTAGGCAGATACTTTTTGCACGCGGCAAGGTTTATTTGCGAGACACCATGGATCTCGAAAAGTTAGTTGCTCTTGGTGAAAAGATGGGTCTTTCTGGCGCCGAACTACGGAAGTGGGTCACCCAGAAGGAAAAAGAAGAAAAAGAGAGAGCCAAAGAAGAAAGAGAGCAGCAGTTGAAGTTGGAGCTGGAGAGAGAAAAGTTGGCAGCCGAAAGGGCGAGAGAAGAAAGAGAAGCGGAGATGGCTGAAAGAGAACGGCAGCGGCAGCACGAGATGGAACTCGAGCGGCTCCGTTTGCAACAGCGAAGCGAAGCTCCCGTCCAAGCTAGAGTTGAAAGCAGCGAACGGGAAGATCACGGCTTCCGCTTGAACCCAAGCAAGTTGCTCGTAGCGTTTGATGAAAGGAAGGACGACCTAGACGCGTACCTCCACAGATTCGAGACGATTGCGAAGAGCCAGAATTGGCCGGAACATCAATGGGCAACTGCTTTGAGTACTTGCTTGAGTGGTGAAGCGCTCAGTGTGTACGGTAGGCTGACGCCGACCGATGCGGCCAACTATGCAAAGGTGAAAGCTGCTTTGTTGAAGCGATTTAGATTCACTGTGGAAGGATTCCGGGACAGATTTCGGACAGGAAAGCCAGCTGATGGTGAAACGGCTACGCAGTATGCCGCCCGACTTTGCCATTATTTCGACAGATGGATTGAACTTTCAGGGACAGCACAGGAGTACGAGGAGCTTAGAGAGCTCCTAATTAGAGAACAATTTCTTACTAGTTGCCACCCAAGCCTGTCGCTGTACTTGAAAGAGAGGAGAGCTAAGTCACTTGAAGACATGCTTGAATTAGCTGATCAATTCTTGGAAGCGCAAGGTGGCACTAATTTGGCCAAAGTCAAGAAGGAGGGTCCCGAGGATTCGAAGAAATCGGCTCCTGAGGAAAAGAAGCATGCACCGGAGAAAATTCCGCGATGTTTTCTGTGTAACCGAGTGGGTCACCGTGCTAGCCACTGCCGAACTAACTTCACGAGCCCCACGGTTGTAAAATGTTTCAAATGTGGTCAGACTGGGCACAAGGCAGACGCATGTCGTAACGGAGCGAGTCAAACTCACCAGGTATCCTGTGCACAAGTGGCGCCAAAAACCGTTGATGACGTCACCGATGGATTCGTAGAGTTGAAAAATGGGGAGAAAATCCCTATTGTGGGTGCTGTATTGGCAAAACAACAAACGGGTGCTACGAAGGGAATGCCTGTGATGGCTGGAAAAGTGGCGGGAAGGCGTGTAGACGTTTTAAGAGACACTGGGTGCTCCACTGTAATAGTACGAAGAGACCTAGTCCGCGACGAGGAACTCACGGGCCAGACCAGCCTGATTTACACCGTCGACCGATCGGTCATGAGGCTGCCTGAGGCCAAGGTCAGGATCGAGACGCCCTTCTACAGTGGGATTGTTTCTGCCTTCTGCATGGATGATCCATTGTATGACGTAATCGTGGGGAACATCGAGGGCGCCCGATCGCCGGACCAACCCGAACCACTGGAAGAGGACTCAGAAATCGATCTACCATCGATTGCAAACCCTCACGACCAACCAGCCACGGCCGACGAGGACGTAGTCGCAGTTGCAACCCGAGCACAGACCAAAGCCCAGTCGAAGCCATTCCAGCCCCTCACTGCACCCAATTCCGCAGAGGACCCGAGCTTCAGCTATGCCGAGGAACAAATCCAGGACGAGTCGTTAAAACCCTGCTTTGCGCAAATCGGCAAGGACCTCAGATGCCGTAATAGTAAATGCGCGATAATGTTCAAGCAGGAAGATGGACTGCTCTACAGGTACTATACGGAGAGGAGTGGTCGGCGGATACGACAGCTCTTGGTGCCGAAGAACCACCGAGAGGCTGTTATGAAGCTAGCCCACGATGGGATAATGGCTGGGCACCTGGGGGCCGAGAAAACCAAGGACAGAATTCAGGAAGAATTCTTCTGGCCCGGTGTCACAGCCGACGTGAAACGGTTCGTGGCATCTTGCGATATCTGCCAGCGAACTGTGCCAAAAGGAAGGGTGCCACACGTGTCACTCGGCCAGTCCCCCGTCATAGACACCCCCTTTAAAAGGGTAGCTATTGATATAGTAGGCCCTATCCGACCTCCATCTGGTCAAGGAAACCGCTATATCCTGACTCTCGTCGATTGCGCCACGCGCTATCCGGAGGCAGTTGCACTACCTGGCATAGAGACCGAACGAGTCGCAGAGGCCCTCGTGGAGATGTTCTCCCGTTTTGGTGTACCGAGGGAAATTCTAAGTGATCGGGGCTCGAATTTCACGTCGGAGTTAATGAAGGAAGTGGCACGACTTCTATCGGTGCGACAACTCCATACCACCCCTTACCACCCAATGGCCAACGGGATGGTGGAAAAATTTAATGGCACCCTGAAGACTATGCTCAAAAGAATGTGTGCGGAGAAACCAAAAAACTGGGACAGATTCCTCGGTCCGTTGCTGTTCGCGTACAGAGAGGTTCCCCAGGCAAGTCTCGGCTTTTCACCGTTCGAGCTTCTGTACGGCCGACATGTCCGGGGA